ATCGGTGAGAGACTTCGTCGGAAATGTGCGGATGTTCGCTATCGCAACCCAGACTACGAGCGAATAAGTTCCATAGCGAAGATTTTAAAGCGAGAGGATACAGATGGTACAAGCAGCGGCGATTTCAGTCCAGCCGAGCTGTCATCTTTCAAGTTTGCTCCTCTTTCCTCAGTGGATGCGGAAAGGAGTTTCTCTTCGCTAAAACATATCCTGAGCGATCGTCGGCATAGTCTAACTTTCGAGAACCTCAGGATGACTGTCATTGTATACTGTAGCCTATAGATTACATCGAAGTCAGATAAATTTATTATGCATATGCTTTGTTCGGAACAGCATATATTCCTCCTCATTATTGCATATTTGCATGCATATTCTCATTTTTTTCAGTGCATGAAAGTTTCAGCTCTAGTCATAATCGTACGCATGCGTATGATTACGGTAAAATCATAGTCATAATCACGGCGAAAATTCGCCCAACACTGATCGTAACCCTTCTACCTATGTGTACTCATATATCAACGCCCGAATCATTGTTTCGACCTCTTCGCTAATATTCTCCTCAAAACCATACATTAATTATCCTCTGATATTACTTTCCGTATCGGTCTTCGAGTTTTGCCGGTCGAACTGGATTCCTTCTCCCGCTCGTCTCGGCACTTCCTTCCTCTTTATTCGGCCCTCTCGTCGGTGACCCGAGCGAACACAACTCGATGCCGCCTGGCCCGATGCCCGAGAACTCGATTCCGGCAACTCGATGCAAAAGCAACCCGATGTCGGGACAGCTGGATGCCAGAATGAATCGATGCCGACCAACTCCATGCCGAGAAAACTCGATGTCCGGACAAACCGACGTCAGAAAATTCTCTCGCGAGGAGATTCTCTCACTGAGAAAATTCGGTCCTATTATGGAAAGAATGGAGTCGTTTGCCAGACGAAGCGGAAAAATGTGCGGCATTTGTGCACGTTCACCACGGATCGAACGAGTCCACGATGCGTCACACATTGGTGACGGACGAGTGACTCGATTCGAGAGTGGCACACAAGACTTTTCGGTCGCGTTCCGAGTTGATTTGAATGCAGTTATCTTTTCCGAATATCCCATCAAACCAGTATGGCGTCGACCTCAAACGAAATTGTTTCGCTCAAACCAGTCCACGACGGTTATGTTTACGTTAGGGAGATGACGAGCAAAGACGGGTCCACTCGGTTCTGGAGGTGTCAACAAGTGAGTGCTTGCAAAGCTCGTTTGCACAGCTGTATCGACAGTAATGAAGTCCTCAAACTTACCGAAACCCACAGCGATGAGCCTAACCCAGGAGCAATCGAGATGGCTAGCCGGAGATGTTCCTTGAAGCGTCGTGCGGTAGAAAGCCAGAGTACACCACTGCAGCTCATTGAAGATGCTTTCGAAGGATTTTCTCTAGCTGCCAAGTTAGTCGCCCCGAATCCTGAATCCTTCCCTCGGACTGTAAATCGAGGGAAGAGATCGAGCCCGAAAAGCCGAGAGAAGACCACCGGCGATCTCTACTAGTCGGACGACTATTACCATTCCTCTCGAATACACAGTCTACCAGATTGAGCCAGGCTTTCTGAATCTTTCCTGATCGGCGACTCGGGTGAGTTTCGAGAGCAGTGATGCTGATACCGATTAATAATTTATCTATACTCGGCTCGTCATTTGGGATTCACGCATAAATCTTCATCTTTTGAACCCTGCGTATTTCCTCTCGACAGGTGAGGGAGACGAGAAGCGAGGGCCAGAGCTCAAGCCTGAAAGTGTAAGAAGATTTCAGGAAGTCGCTTCAAATCGCTCACAAACGCGCTTGGTAAGTGAGCGAGTTATCTTCGAGTGAGACCGTGGCCGCAGACGGACGCTCTCATCAAGGGCTCCGGGAAAAAAGGTGATTCCTCGTGAAAGAAGAGACAAGACTTGGTGCAGGGTGCTCATACGGAGAGGTGCTTCCTCGGTGCAACGGGTGACCGGCAGGGAGGGAATCCAAACCCTCCTTTCTGCCCCCCTTAGCCTCGAGAGATTTCTGCCTCACGACCTAGGCCACAGGGGCGACTGAGCAAACCCTTGAACTACACAGCGGGCTGACTCACCCCAAACAGACATCCAGCGTAGAACAATAACATCTGCAGAGGAGACACTCACTACGAGAGCCGGGATAGAGAGAGAACGAGCTTTCGGCGATTAATCGCAAGCTGTTCGATTTTCCGCCGGCTCACGGGGCTGACAGGTGACAGGTGGCCGCGGAATCACAGCGGCGGGAAAATTTGAACCATCAGGAGGGAAATCCATCAGGGAGCATCTATCGGAGGAAAAACGTACTGCCTGAGAGCAAAGGCGGGATACTCATGGCGCTTCCCAGGACGCCTCCGCCAAAGGGTGATCCCCCGGAAAAGAGCAAAGACGAAGAGGGACGAGCAGAAGCAGGCACGTCCGGCACTGATACTGCAGAGGCAGACACCGATGCGATGGAGACGGCAGATGAAATGGAGACTGAGTTTCAGAGGCCCGTGGCACCCCCACCGGCGGTCCTAAGACAGTCGAAACTCACGGCCGTTGTCGGTAAGAATCTGGCTAGGCTCCTAGTGGCGGGAGAGCTTAGAACTCAAGGTGAGGGCGCGGGCATTGAGAGGACTCCACAGCGCAGTCAACCCCTGCCTACACCGGCCACAGAAAACATCGCAGCCACTCCGAAAATGCCGACAGTAGGCAAACGAAAGCAGTGCTCTCCGAATACCACGGAAGAAGAAGATCCTGAGAAGAGGAAAAGAACTGACACGTTGGATGAGCATAAGGAGGCTCTAGTCCTAGAGGTCACCGAACTCATTCGAGATATCATTGGAGAGAAGTCGTCCACGCTTATCGAACTGGCCAAGGTCCAGAACACGGCCAGAGCGATAAAAGAGCTGGCCCCGGACTTAAAGCGAGCACAGCAGAGGCTCGAGCTGCAAGTAAGGGTACTAATCGGCAAGAAGCTCAAGGAGATCGAAGGTGAGCTGCTTGTCCCAGAGGCCGAGAAGGAGCACTCGTACGCTGCGACGATATGTTCGGTCTGCAAGGGCAGGGAACAGGCCAAATTGGATGCAGCAGCTGCTCGAAAGACCGCCGAAGAAGAGAAAGCTGCAGAAATCAGAAAGAAAATCGAGGAGCTTTCGAGCCTGCAAGACCTGGTCACGCTCGCAGAGGGAGAGTGGCCAAAGCAAGCTTTTGAGAGAACTTCAACCAGCCGTGCAGGCATCGCCGGCAGCCGTGCGTGCAAGGTACTGGTTGCTGAGGCCACAGGAAGAGACGCCAAGACCGGGCACACCATCGAACAGCTGGCCAAACTCTTCCCGGCAGTGAAGAATATCGATACTCTCAAAGAAGGCGACGTGGCAACTGCTCGAGCGTACATTGCGGCCTCGCTCATTAGTGGAGATGAGGTCGCCTCGGAGACTGAGCAACGCACGCTAATTGTTGGAAGAATCAAGGCCAATCCCAGCCCGATCGACGTGGCTGAGATGATGCAGAAGGTCGCCGAGGAAGTCAAAAAGATTACAGCGAGGGGTGATAAGACTTTAATCCGACTCCCGGATGGAGTCAGCATCGAACTCGCGAAGAAAATCACAGAGGCATGCTGGACCACTTCGAAAGTCGAAACTGAAGCTGAGATCTCCAAAAAGCCGTCGGCCACTCCAGGACGGAAGTCAACAGAAACGAAAAAGACTCCAAAAAGACATGCTCATGGAACGCTCGTTGTGGAGACTCCGGGCACTAGCTTCGCAGATGTCCTCAAGAACCTCAGAACCAACGTAGGCACACGCGCTCTCGGAGTGGACATCAGAGGAGTCAGAAGAACCGAAGAAGGACTGCAGCTCCAATTCCGAGAGAAGAAGAACGGAGGACAGCAGAGATTGACCCAGTTTATAACTGAGGAGCTCAAGCTCACCGCAGAGGCTAGAAGGGCTCCCCTTTCCTCAGCAGTTCTCATTACTAACCTCGATCTAGTCACAAATGCTGACGAAATCGAGGACGAGATTCGGAAGGCGATGGGAGGTGCAGAACCGGGAACGATTCGAGTCGAAAGAGTTCGAGACAGCGAGAGAGGGTCCAGGTCGGCAGTGATAAGAGCGTCAAGAGTCGACGCGGACCGAATACTCCGTATTGGGCGTATCAAAATCGGGTGGCAGATCTGCATGCTCCGACCCTGGCACGAGCTCCCAGTCTGTTTTAGATGTCAACAAATCGGCCATCGTGCGCATCAGTGCAGCTCTACGACGGTCGCTGCAAGGAAATGCTACCGGTGTGGAGAAGAGGGACACCAGAGCAGCACTTGCAAGGCGTAGAAATTCAATGCAAGAGTTGCAACGGAGAAGGACATTCAGCATACTC